AGTGTGTATGGTGTAGTGTGTATAGTGTGTGTTGTGAGTGTGTATAGTGTGTATGGTGTAGTGTGTATGGTGTAGTGTGTATGGTGTAGTGTGTGTGTATAGTGTGTGTGTGTATGTGTGTGTGTGTGTGTGTATAGTGTGTAGTGTGTATGTGTGTGTGTATGTGTGTGTGTATGTGTGTAGTGTGTATGTGTGTAGTGTGTAGTGGTGTGTGTGTGTGTATAGTGTGTGTGTGTGTGTATAGTGTATATGTGTGTAGTGTGTATGGTGTAGTGTGTATGGTGTAGTGTGTATGGTGGTGTGTGTGTATAGTGTGTGTGTGTATGTGTGTGTGTGTATAGTGTGTATGGTGTAGTGTGTATGTGTGTGTAGTGTGTGTAGTGTGTATAGTGTAGTGTGTATGGTGTAGTGTGTATGGTGTAGTGTGTATGGTGTAGTGTGTATGGTGTAGTGTGTATGTGTGTGTGTGTGTATAGTGTGTGTGTGTATGTGTGTGTGTAGTGTGTATGGTGTAGTGTGTATGTGTGTATGGTGTAGTGTGTATGGTGTAGTGTGTATGGTGTAGTGTGTATGGTGTGTGTGTGTAGTGTGTGTGTGTATAGTGTGTGTAGTGTGTGTGTGTGTATGGTGTAGTGTGTATGGTGTAGTGTGTATGGTGTAGTGTGTATGGTGTAGTGTGTATGGTGTAGTGTGTATGGTGTTGTGTGTGTGACCTGTGCAGGTGGAGCCAGTGGCTGCTGATGTCCAGACACATGTTCACCTGAAACACAAACTCACTTTATTTAAATCTTTAGATTTTCAGTCTCGTCACTTTAAACCAGAGCTTCTCAATTATTTTCTGTCATGGTCTCTGTCAGGTGCGTCCCTGTCGGGTTGGTCTCTGTCAGGCTGTCAGGTGCGTCCCTGTCGGGTTGGTCCCTGTCAGGCTGGTCCCTGTCAGGTCGGTCCCTGTCAGGCTGGTCCCTGTCAGGCTGGTCTCTGTCAGGTGGGTCCCTGTCAGGTGGGTCTCTGTCAGGTGGGTCCCTGTCAGGTGCGTCCCTGTCAGGTGCGTCCCTGTCAGGTGCGTCCCTGTCAGGTGCGTCCCTGTCAGGCTGGTCTCTGTCCAGCTGGTCTCTGTCAGGTGCGTCCTGTCAGGCTGGTCTCTGTCAGGTGGTCCCTGTCAGGCGGGTCCCTGTCAGGCTGGTCCCTGTCAGGTGGGTCCCTGTCAGGCGGGTCCCTGTCAGGCTGGTCCCTGTCAGGTGGGTCCCTGTCAGGCTGGTCCCTGTCAGGTGGGTCCCTGTCAGGCGGGTCCCTGTCAGGCTGGTCCCTGTCAGGTGGGTCCCTGTCAGGCTGGTCCCTGTCAGGTGGGTCCCTGTCAGGCGGGTCCCTGTCAGGTGGTCCCTGTCAGGTGGGTCTCTGTCAGGCAGGTCTCTGTCAGGTGCGTCCCTGTCGTACCTGGAAGAGGAAGGTGTAGTGTGGGTAGATCAGGGACAGATTGACCAGGAGACACATTGTGGCGCATCGATCTGTCAGCATGTCCATCATCGCACCAAACTTCGTCGCTACAAACGGAAAACAAACGTGATTTACACCCGAGCGAGACCTGGTCCAGTCCTGGTCTGGTCCCAGTCTGGTCTTGGTCTAGTCCCGGTCTGGTCCCAGTCAGGTCCTGGTCTCGGTCGGGTCCTGGTCCCGGTCGGGTCCTGGTCCCGGTCCGGTCTTGGTCAGGTCCCGGTCGGGTCCGGTCCCGGTCGGGTGCTGGTCCCGGTCGGGTGCTGGTCCCGGTCGGGTCCTGGTCCCGGTCGGGTCCTGGTCCCGGTCCGGGTCTCGGTCGGGTCCTGGTCCCGGTCCGGGTCTCGGTCCGGGTCTCGGTCAGGTCCTGGTCCCGGTCCGGGTCTCGGTCCGGGTCTCGGTCAGGTCCTGGTCCCGGTCCTGGTCCCGGTCGGGTCCCGGTCGGGTCCCAGTCGGGTCCTGGTCTCGGTCGGGTCCTGGTCTCGGTCGGGTCCTGGTCTCGGTCGGGTCCCGGTCGGGTCCTGGTCCCGGTCCGGTCTCGGTCAGGTCCCGGTCGGGTCCCGGTCCCGGTCGGGTCCCGGTCGGGTCCCGGTCCCGGTCCGGTCCCGGTCGGGTCCCGGTCCCGGTTGGGTCCTGGTCCCGGGCGGGTCCTGGTCCTGGTCCCGGTCCGGTCTCGGTCAGGTCCTGGTCGGGTCCCGGTCCCGGTCGGGTCCCGGTCGGGTCCTCACACTGGCCGAGGGCTCGGGCGGCGTGTCCGTCGAAGGCGTCCAGCAGGGCGCTCAGGAGGTAACAGAAAACCGCCGGCCACGGACAATACGGCATCAAGAAGAACGACAAGAACGCCAACGCCACACGAGCGTAACCTGAACACACAAACACACAACCTGAACACACAAACTGAAACACAAACACACAACCAACACACAACCTGAACACACAAACACACACAACACACAACCTGAACACACAACCTGAACACACAACCTGAACACACAACCTGAACACACAAACACACAACCTGAACACACAACCTGAACACACAAACACACAACCTGAACACACAAACACACAACCTGAACACACAACCTGAACACACAAACACACAACCTGAACACACAAACACACAACCTGAACACACAAAACACACACACAACCTGAACACAAACACACAAACAACACACAACCTGAACACAAACAACACACAACCTGAACACACAACCTGAACACAAACACACAAACAACACACAACCTGAACACAAACACACAAACACAAACACACAACCTGAACACACAAACACACAACCAACACACAACCTGAACACACAAACACACAACCTGAACACACAACCTGAACAACACACAAACACACAACCTGAACACACAAACACACAACCTGAACACACAACCTGAACACACAACCTGAACACACAAACACACAACAACAACACAAAACCTGAACACAAACACACAAACAACACACAACCTGAACACACAACCTGAACACACAAACACACAACCTGAACACACAACACACAACCTGAACACAAACACACAAACAACACACAACCTGAACAAAACACACAAACACACAACCTGAACACAAACACACAAACAACACACAACCTGAACACAAACACACAAACAACACACAACCTGAACACACAAAAACACACAACCTGACACACACACACCTGAACACACAAAACACACAACCTGAACACACAAACACACAACCTGAACACACAACCTGAACACACAAACACACAACCTGAACACACAACCTGAACACACAAACACACAACCTGAACACACAAACACACAACCTGAACACACAACCTGAACACACAAACACACAACCTGAACACACAAACACACAACCTGAACACACAAAACACACAACCTGAACACACAACCTGAACACACAAACACACAACCTGAACACACAAACACACAACCTGAACACACAACCTGAAACACACAACCTGAACACACAAACACACAACCTGACACACACAAACACACAACCTGAAACACACAACCTGAACACACAACCTGAACACACAAACACACAACCTGAACACACAACCTGAACACACAAAACACACACAAACACACAACCTGAACACACAAACACACAACCTGAACACACACAACCTGAACGCACAAACACACAACCTGACACACACACAACCTGAAACAACACCTGAACACACACCTGAACACACAACACACAACCTGAAAACACACAACCTGAACACACAAAACACACAACCTGAACACACAACCTGAAACACAAACACACAACAACTGAAACACACAACCTGAACACACAAACACACAACCTGAACACACAAACACACAACCTGAACACACAACCAACACACAACCTGAAACACACTGAACACACACCTGAACACACAACCTGAACACACACAAAACACACAACCTGAACACACAACCTGAACACACAACCTGAACACACAAACACACAACCTGAACACACAACCTGAACACACAAACACACACAACCTGAACACACAAACACACAACCTGAACACACACACACACACACACACACTCAAAAACACTCTGAACCACCTCGTGATGTCATCATGTGGTGATACAGGAAGTGCTCCACTGTGGTTTTAAACTCCACACAGCTTCACCAGGATCATCTGGATCATTTCAGTCCTGGAACCATTTTTGACAGAACTAAAGAGAAAAGGAGCTGAGAACTTGGAAACTACCACTTGATGACATCACAGCGTGGAACAGAGTGTCTGGAGTTTTGCAGAAGTAACAGACTCAGAATAAAGAAACAAACAAACAAACTCAACTGCAGCTCTGAGTGTGACAGGAACAACACAACAACACAACAATAACAACAACAACACAACAACAGAACAACACAACAACAGAACAACACAACAACACAACAACAGAACAACACAACAACAGAACAACACAACAACAGAACAACACAACAACAGAACAAACACAACAACAACACAACAACACAACAACAACAGAACAACAACAACAAAACAGAACAACACAACAACAGAACAACACAACAACAGAACAACACAACAACAGAACATAAAAGTCATATCTGGGACGTGCTGCTAACTGTGTGCACTGCTCTGTCTGCGGGTCCCAGGATCTGACCTGAACTTTAAACACGTTACAGCACAAACTTCAAACTGTGTGTTTTCCACCTGCGGCTCTGCTCTGTTCTTCCTCGAAATGGATCAGATTTTACAGTATTGATAAACCCCAGACACAGAGAGAACACGCAAACTCCACAGTCCAGGAAGTGAACCTGTGAGCTCCTGGAGAGAGGGAAGTGAACCTGTGAGCTCCTGGAGAGAGGGAAGTGAACCTGTGAGCTCCTGGGAGAGGGAAGTGAACCTGTGAGCTCCTGGAGAGAGGGAAGTGAACCTGTGAGCTCCTGGAGAGAGGGAAGTGAACCTGTGAGCTCCTGGAGAGAGGGAAGTGAACCTGTGAGCTCCTGGGGAGAGGGAAGTGAACCTGTGAGCTCCTGGAGAGACGGCGCAGCACTGAACCCTGAGAAAAACACTCACTGACCAACTGTCCAAACATCACAGTTTGATTTAATATTTTTACACTTTTAAATTGTATTAAAAAAAAAAGGTTTTTGTGTTTTATGCTGTAATTTATGATATATTAATTTTATAATTTTTTATATTAAATTTATTTATATTTGTGCTACATTTATCTGTTTATTATTTCTGGTGTATTTTATAAATCTCTTCATAAATATTAATCTGATCGATCTAAAAATGAAACACGTCAGATTATTATAATGACTAAACCAGGACTGAACCAGGACTAAACCAGGACTAAACCAGGACTAAACCAGGACTAAACCAGGTCTAAACCAGGACTAAACCAGGTCTAAAACAGGTCTAAAACAGGACTAAAACAGGACTAAACCAGGACTTAGTCCTGGTTTAGTCCTGATATAAAAAAGTTAAATCTTTTTTGCTCTAGATCATCATAAATCACAGGTGTCTCGTCATAAGGATAAAAAAAAAAACAGTTTGATTAATTAAAAATGAAATGAGCGTCAAATAAATAAATATAATTAAATATAAATAAATATAATTCAATATAAATAAATATAATTCAATATAAATAAATATAATTCAAGATCTTTGTAAAAACTCGGGTCTGTTTCTGTTGTTTCTGACTCGCCTCCAGCTCGAGCTCCTCTTCACACATCATTTTTATTCCAGGACTTTATAAAGAAGATTTTAAAATAAAAATTAAACTATACTTTATTATTTTCAAAGTGTCGGGTGAAATGTGTTTTTGTGGTTTTAATTAAAGTAAAATAAAAACCTAAATCTGCTCTGACCTCCGGACGAGGAGCGGGAGGCGAGCGCCAAACCAACGCCAAGAAAAACTGAAATCCCGTTTCAAACTCACCGATGAGGTTTGGCACGAACAGGAAAATGTTCTCCTCGGACATGGCGACGCTTTTATCCGCGGATTTGGGCAAAAAACGGGCGAAAATTTGACGTTTTGATGAAATTTCTGCAGCTCCAGGAAGAAAAGTGATGTTTGACACTTCCGGTCTGCGTCACCTGCGTCACCGGCGTCACGAAGCGAAGAAGATCCGGTCTGACCCTTCACAATAAAACAAACAAAACAAAACTCTTCACAATAAAACTGCCTCACAAAGTCAAAAGGCCGCAACATCGTGTTTGATCAAAATGAGTTCATGTCGTGTTGTTTGTTTGTGAATTCCTCGTTTATCATGAGAATAAATATGTGAAAAATACTGAATGTCCCTTTGACCTTATTTGGCAGTTCCTGTTCTCTGCCTTTGTACTATGAGCCAAAAATAATATTAACTTAATTGTTAAATATTAATAATAAATAAATTCTGCATAATAAATAATAATTATTATATATTTTTTATTAAATTCTCGTTATTATTTTACTTAGTCTCATCTACTTTTAGCTCTCCATTTTTATTTTTACTATAACCATTAGGAGCATTATGTTTATATTTAGTCTTTGTCATTTTTCTCTTTGTGCTATATTCCACATGTATGAAAAGTGTTATACAAATAAAGTTTGATTGTTTGATCATAACAATTGTATTTCTTTATAAAATCAGTAAATCTCATTGTTTGGACCAGAGCTGCTCAGACTGGGAACAGTTTATGTTCTGACTAATGAAAAAGTGAAGCTGACGAACAAAAAAGTCATTTAAAAAAACACATTAAAAAAACAAAAAAAAACAATGCAGCTTTAGTCCAGACATGAGGTCAAATAATAAAATGTTTATTTTGTGTTTCCACATGAGCTTAAACGAGCCGATCAGTGTCGACCAAAAGACCGTCTGTGGCTCTGGAGTCTCCAGTCGACTCATTTGTGGTTCATGTTTTTGTTTTTTTTTTAAATCACGTTTCACTTAAACTGTGTTCATCTAAAGATCTGTGAAATAATCCAAACTGGAGCTTTTATTGTGAAAGTCTCGGTCTGTTCGTGCGCGTGCAGGTGACGCTTTTGACGCACGCTGCCGCAGGAGCCGTGACGTTTCCGTGACGAGCCGCGCAGCTCCGCCCCTCGCGCCGAAAACAATAATCACGATTTATTTATAGATCATCACATCAGAGCGCGAGGCCCACAGGAAGGGGGAGGGGCGAGGGGGGGAGGGGCGAGGGGGCACGAGTGAAAAACAGAAACACGAACAGAACTGAACCGAACACAGAGACTCAGAACATCCTTCCTCATGTTCAGCTCAAATGTTTGATTTTCATTTATTTAATCCAGATTTGTTCTTCGCTCTGGTTCCTTCAAAACCAGGTCTGGTCCTAATCTAGACTTGGAATAGTCCTGGTTTAGATCTGGTAGAACTTGGAACACCAAATATTAGGTGGTACTTGGTGGAGATTTGTTCTGCATCAGCTGCGTCCGAGCGTCCGTCCTGTTCTGGGTTTGGTCACATGATCCATAAATATTTTACAGAAATGAAATTTTTAATCTTCACAAAACTGGACCTCGGCCTCCAACTTCTGTCCCGGACACGATCGGTGAAAATCTGGAGAAAAAAAGGCCAGAACAAAAAAATGTACGACACAAACTAAATCAATCAAAAACTGGTCAGAAATTATAAATTAAATTCAAAAATTGGAAAAAAACATTTGGATTTCATTTGGAAATGGACGATGGACATGAGCCGTAACATTATTTAACTTTAAATGTTTTTAGAACAGAAGATGAAGTTTGTCTAATGTGTTTTGTCCGTGTTCAGCGTCGAGTGTCACTGTTGTTTTTATTTTATTTTTTTCAGTATTTCTGAAAAGATCAAGTATAAACATAAACAAAGACACATTTCCAGATGGTTTAAATCCATCGCTGTCGTTCCTTCAGTAAAAACACAATAACGAGCCGTCAGGAGCCACATTTGGGAATCATTTATTGGACGTTTGAATTTTTCAGTTTTGAGCCAAAATTCTGGAAAAACATGAAACAAAAATGAAAGAAAATGAAACAAAATGAAATGTTTGGCTCCAGTCGCCGAAAATCCCGGAGGCTCCCGGAATGTGACGTAACAATATTGGCAAAATCAAAGCTCACAGACGCAACGCGGCGCCGCCACGTGCACGTCTACGCACCACCGCCACACGTGCACGTCTACGCACCACCGCCACACGTGCACGTCTACGCACCACCGCCACACGTGCACGTCTACGCACCACCGCCACACGTGCACGACTACGCACCACCGCCACACGTGCACGAGTACGCCCCGCCCCCACACACGTGCACGTCTACGCACCACTGCCACACGTGCACGCTCTACGCACCACCGCCCACACGTGCACGACTACGCACCACCGCCACACGTGCACGCTCACGCACCGCGGCGCCCCCACACGTGCGCAGACTCCCACCCCATGCTCGCCTACGCACTCCAGACGTCACCACACGTGCACGTCCACTCGCCGCAGACGCGTCCGCACGTGCGCAGACGAGGTAGCTGCGAAAACTGTGCAAAACTTCCGACCCGACCTACAGTGTTCAAAAAATCTGTACAAAAACTCAAACATGGCACCAGAACAAAAGGGTTAATACTGGCTCGAACGGAACGCACGGCCCTGAGGCTTCTGGGAAACGAAGTCCAGCTCCTGAACGCACGAAGCCACGCCCACCTCTGGCACCGGAAAACACCATGTCGCTCCGAGGGGTTTGGACCGACGGGACCGACGGGACCGACGAGGCTCACGAGAAGTTTAGTTTATGTCAGTCCTGGTTTAGTCTCGATTGATCTCGGTTTAGCCCTGGTTCAGTCTCACTTCAGTCTCCGGCTCAATCCCGGTTCAGTCCCTGATCGATCTCGCTTCAGTCCCGCTTCGGTCCCGCTTCGGTTCAAATCAAATCTCTTAAATCGTTTTTTTTTTTTTTTTCTGTCGGTTGTTTTGGCGTCTCCGTCCTTCGCCGTGATCGGACCGTCCCGTCACATGACCCCCGCGGCAGCGTTCAATGGTGACGTTGCCGGCGCCGTCGGACCCCGAACCCCGTAAAACTCATTTGCATAAAAGGGGGCGTGGCTCCCCGCGCGCTCGTTAAAACTCTCACAGTAACAAACTCCCCGTAGTGGTTCAACATCGGTAAATACATCTTTAAAAAACTAACATTAAAAATCTGAGACGACTCTGTGAAGCGGAGAAAGACCGGATGCCCTCCCGTCCTCCCGTCCTCGTGTGCCCGTGCGTCAGATGCCCTCCCGTCCTCCCGCCCTCGTGTGCCCGTGCGTCAGATGCCCTCCCGTCCTCGTGTGTCTGTAGTGTTCGGTTGAGGCGGGGCGGGTCCGTCCGTGTAACATTTGTTCTTTTCAATTTAGAACGAAAAACAATAAAACGGGAAAGTTTGTCATTTAATTCTTCCGTTTTAGTGTCAGATTTCGACCTCTGTTTCCAATATTTAATTGAAAGTTTATTTCAAGTGACACCAATCAAAACTCTGTCCCGGCGCCTTCAGGGTTTCCTCTTTTTCACTGACACAATTTCAAAACTTTTCCATGACTTTTCCTGTCCTGATTCCTGAGCTGGTTTCACTTGATGGAAACCGTGTGACCTGCAGCACTTTTTTATTGAACCAATCGCTGCTGTTTGGTCGTGACGTTTGTAAAGCTCCAAATCCTGACGGAAGAAGAACAATAACGTCTTTCCCCGAGTTCAAACTCACCAAACATTCTCTTTGTTCAGACTTTAAATCCTCGGGTCTGGGGAATCGTCGCCAACACAGAACGTCTGTCTCTCCTCTGATTGGCTGGAGCCCGAACTCGACACTTCCGGGGTTTTTGTGAATCGTCGAGTGTTTTCTGATTCTGATCTAGAGCTGCAGAGAAATGAAACTGAGCGCAGACACTAGGGGGCGACAGACTGACTTGTGTGAATTTTCCATGACTTTCCAGCACCTACATGTGTAGAACTGATCAGACTCTTAGGGTTAAGTCTGAAACGTGAAACTCTTTCCACTCACCTCATGGTTTGGGATCATTACGGAAGCCGAGAGGGTCACAACGAACGCAAACGCCACGACAAATACAAAAGCCACAACACAACAAAAGCCACAACACAACAAAAAGCCACAACACATTAAAAAGCCACAACAGAAGTGACCGTGGGACTCTATTTTCCGACGGACCGATCAAGCGGCAAGTGAAGAAGAAGAAGAACTACAACATGAAAAGTAAAGGAACGGAGAAGTTGGAAACGCAAGTAAAAGTAATTTATTGTTTTATCATTATTCCTTTCATGTTGTGGTTCTTCTTCTTCACTTGCTGCTTGATCGGTCGGTCGGAAAATAGAGTCCCGCAGTCACTTCCGTTGTGGCTTTTTTTGGTTTGTTGTGGCTTTTTTTGGCATGTTGTGGCTTTTGTATTTGTTGCGGCGTTTGCGTTCCTTGTGGCCCCTCTCGGCTTCCGTAGTTTATAGTTTTTTTGAACATTCTAAATCCCGTCCGTGAGTTTATTGTCGTCTCTTTAAACTAAAGACTCGGTGTCTCGTCTCGTCGTGTGTCTTTATATTTTGAGCGAGTCTCTCTGTTCCGATTTCATAACTCGATCACTCAACGCCACTGACACCATTTTTTTCTACGAGAAGGGAGAGAATAAAATAAAATAAAAATAGACACGAGATTGATTTTACATTGGTGTGATTTCAAATAAACTTGAAATATTTGAAATCGAGGTCGAAATCAGTTTTTTTGTTTGTTGTTTTTCGTTCATAATTGAAATTCAAAAGAACCAATCGCACACAGACTCAGGTCACGTGTCTCTCGTGCGTCAGATGCCCTCCCAGACGATCAGACGCCCTCCCAGACGATCAGACGCCCTCCAGACGATCAGACGCCCTCCCAGACGATCAGATGCCCTCCCAGACGCGGCGCGGTTGGATTTTCGGGCGTCGTCTTTCTCCGCTTCTCACAAATGAAACACTAATCTGCAGTAGTAATAATACCGGCTTCCTATTGGACGACGCAGGTCACGTGACTAATTTTCTTAATAATAATGGCGTTTTACAGTCAGTGCTTCTGCAAACCTCCAGATGGCGTGGTTTCTTTTTTTAAATTTTTTTTACACATTTTCTTCATACATTTTTACATAAATATTTGAAGTCTGTACACGCCCCGCCCACTCCGCTCCGCCGACCAATCAGGGACCGGCTCCAGAACGCAACAGGAAGAGGAAAAAAATACAACAACGAAAAATAAAAACAACACTGATTCTTTTGATGCGTTTGAGCGTTTTTCGGAGCTCGAGTTCGTCTCAGCAGAGTCCAGAGTCTTTTGATGCTTTGTCCCTTTGTCCTCTGCTCCCGCCGCACCTGCCCCGGGGCGAGCGGAGGGGGTCACGGCTGCCGCACCTGCCCCGGGGCGAGCGGAGGGGGTCACGGCTGCCGCACCTGCCCCGGGGCGAGCGGAGGGGGTCACGGCTGCCGTTCCTCGCCGACCTCCATCGTTTACTGCACTCAAGGTAATGTGGGAAGTGTTTTGCTCGAGAGCACAGAGGCAGACCGTTCGTTCAGACCGCGGCGTTGAAACGGCGTCAAAGCCTCGTGGACGTTCCGGTTCCTTCGCCGTGATGGTGCGTCTGGGTCAGAGGTCAGAGGTCAAAGGTCTGACTTTAAAAATGTGCCGATACTTGATGAACCCAGACACTGAGGACCAGTTTTATTTTGGAGGGAGTTTGTGAAATATCATGAGACTCGGGCTCTTCTGGAAAAGTTTGTGACTTTTAAAAACCCATGGAAACAGGTTGTGGCGCCCCCTGGTGTCCAGCGAGTATAAAATCTAAAATGGTCCCACCGAAAAGAAAAGGTTTTATCTGTTTCCTTTTGTCTGAAATTCTCGTATAATGACACTTTTTCTACTTGACAAAAGGAGGTGATTTTAAGACTCTTCATATTTGAAGGACATTTTCACGACAAACGTATTGTCCTGGTCACTTTTTACTTTAAAAACGATCCATATCTGTGAACGAACAGTGTCTAAAGATGCTTCAGGCGTCTGAACCCACAGGTTCATCCTGAAACAATAAAACTGAACATGTGAACATTATTCTAGTGTGAAAAATATTTACAAAAACTGTCCATTTCTCAAATCAAGGCAAAAAAGGAGCAGAACTTGTTTCGTGGTTCTATGAAATGCTCGTTCGTTTCAAAATGTAAAAGTCCAGAGTCACCAAATTCTGCCGGGCGTCTGTGCTCGACCAGGACGGGGCTTCAGAGCGAGAGCTCGTGTTCAGGAGCTCAGCCTGACGAGTCTGACAAAGGAAAGGCTCCGTGTCATTTTATGTACCGCCTCCAGGGGGCGCTCCAGTGTGTATCCATGGATTTTTAAAAACCTTAGGCCCAAACCCAACACCTGCCAAAAATCCAAAACTTTTCCAGAAGTGCAGGATTTTCATGAATAAAACTAAAAAAAATAAGAGAATCTGGTCCAAACGTGGAGCTGAGATTTACCTGAGGAAATCACAAAACAACGGCAAAAGGAGAAATTCAGTTTTTAGTTTTTAGTTTTTGTCTGAGGTCCTGTTCTGTTCTCGTCTCCTGTGAAGAGTCTCGAAGTGAAGAAACAAAACAGACACGTCACAAGAAGAAGAACCGACAGACGAGAGAGCGACACAGGACCACAGTCTGCTGTCCACCTCCACCTCAGTGTCCTGAGCGCCGCCTGCAGGCGTCTGACCAGAGGCTCAGCTCAGTGTTCGATCTAAATAAACGTTTGTCCAGTTGATAAAATGAATTTCTCATTTTGTCGTGTTGACGGATTTTACACAGAACAACTCAGTCAAAGTTCAGAGTTTCTGATCATTACATCAATAAAACCAAACAGGATATCGACTGAACCGATATTTGAAAGTCGATATCTGACCTTTGACCTCTGAAGGCGACTGGAAACATTGGGCGAGCCAGAACTCGCCCCTCCACAGACCTGACGCCGCCGTCTGAACCGTAACACGCCGTCCACAAAAACACTTCACAGAAACTTTCAACAAAAAACAAACATTAAAAAGGAAATGACTCAAAATTAAAAGACTCAGTCTCAGTTTTTGCGTTCTGGAGCTGTCCGCCGCCCGCTGCCCGTCTCTACGGCGACGAACCGCCACCCGCCCGTCTCTACGGCGACGAACCGCCACCCGCCCGTCTCTACGGCGACGAACCGCCACCCGCCCGTCTCTACGGCGACGAACCGCCACCCGCCCGTCTCTACGGCAACGAACCGCCACCCGCCCGTCTCTACGGCGACGGTCGCCCGTTCGTCTCTACGGCGACGAACCGCCACCCGCCCGTCTCTACGGCGACGGTCGCCCGTTCGTCTCTACGGCGACGGTTCGCCGCCCACCCGACTCTATGGCAGTGTTTATACAGAACCTTATCACTAAAAAACAAAAATCTACATTTATTTAGTTAAAATCTGACTTTGAAATGGTTTTATTTACAGTATTTACACTTTGACTCTTTCAGCGATCGCGGCGAATTCAGAAAAACGAACCAGTTTAACAGCTGCAGTTTTACAATCGCACGGAAGTGAAGAAGAACACAAGAGTCTAACCGAAGTTTCACCATTGAAACGTGAAATGAAACGCGTTCTGTCGAGGAGGAGGGGTCAAGGGTCAGAGGTCGGGGGGGGTCATTCAAGACACAATGTCTAAAATTAAAATAATTTTGAAGGAAATTTGAAGGTTTTCAGACAGAAGAGAAATGTGGCCTTCACAGAACAGAGCGGATCAGCCCCGGTCCTGGTCCCGGTCCTGGTTCTGGTCCCGGTCCTGTGAAGGCCTCTCGTCCGTCTGACCCTCGGGTCCGTTGAGGTTCGGTCATTCTCGTCCTTCAGGATTCCGACAGGTGCGGCAGGTGCCTCAGGTGTATGACAGGTGCGAGCCGTTGGACATGTGCGATGTGACGGACGTGCTCCGGCTCAGCCCGCCCTCGCCGCTCTGCCCCCCGGAGGCCGTCCTGCGTAACGGCGTGGGGCTGTTCCTCAGAGCGTGCGCCCGGCCGTACCCGCCCCCTGGCCCCGCCCCCGAGGAGGAGGAGCCGTGCGAGGAGGCGTACGCCCAGTCCCGCCCGCGCTCGCGGCCCTCGCGACCCTCGCGGCCCTCGGGCTCATGGTAGAGCTGCGGCGTGCTCTGGTGGTGACTGAACTGGTACTGATGCTGCGAGGACGAGGAGGAGGAGGAGGATGAGGAGGCTCTGCTCTTCATCTCGTCTCTGTACTTCAGGTCGTCGCGTTGGTACTCGCGCCCGTACTTCAGCTCGTCTCTGTACTTCAGCTCCTGCGGCGAGTACCTGTCGCCGTACTCCGTGTTCTGACGATACTTTTCCATCTTCTCCAGCTGAGCGAACCTCTGCTCCTGCCGCTGCTCCTGCCCGCCGTACCTCTGCTCCTGCCCGCCGTATCGTTGCTCCTGCCCGGCGTACCTCTGCTCCTGCCCGCCCGCGTATCGCTCCTGCCCGCCGTATCTCTGCTCCTGCCGCTGCTCCTGCCCCGCGTACCTCTGCTCCTGCCCGCCGTATCGTTGCTCCTGCCCGCCGTACCTCTGCTCCTGCCGCTGCTCCTGCCCGAAGCCGTGGGCGACGGTCTCGGCGCGGGCGAAGCCGTGGTTCCTCCAGGCGGGCGGGGCGGACGAGGCGGAGACGCTGTGGGACCAGTGTCCGCCGGAGCGCGGGACGGGGCGGGGCCAGGGGGCGGAGCCGGAGGGGGCGGGGCCGGAGGAGGCGTAGCCCTGCGTGTAGGCCTCGGCCGGGATCCCGCCCAGAGCCATGTTACTGAAGCCCAGCCTCATGCTCTCCGAGTCGAACGCCTCGATCTCATGAGCCTGACGCTCCAGCAGAGAACGGATCCTCTCAGAGCGCTCGTTCTGCAGCGACAACATCTCCTCCTCGATCTGCAACGCACAAACGCACAACTTTATCACACTAAACACACACAAACACACAAACAACATCTCCTCCTCGATCTGCAACGCACAAACGCACAACTTTATCACACAAACAACATCTCCTCCTCGATCTGCAACGCACAAACACACTATCACACAAACTGTCTGATAACAGTGTCCACAGGTGAGGCGTGTGTGTCTGTTTGTTGTGTGGTTGTGTGTGTGTGTTTGTTGTGTGGTTGTGTGTGTGTGTTTGTTGGGTGGTTGTGTGTGTTGTATGTGTGTGTTTGTGTATTAGAACCCGGCCGATATGACATCGTTCACTGATCAATGAGAAACAACAAGCTCCAAAACTGACAGATTTCTGTCACTTTCCCCTGACACTGGCTCCTCTCAGATCACAAATCTGAACTAATAAACGTCCTTTTAATCCCGACTCTAAACGATTGTGTGTGACACTCCTCTGTAGGACACTCCTCTGTAGGACACTGTAGGACACTCCTCTGTAGGACACGCCTCTGTAGGACACTCCTCTGTAGGACACGCCTCTGTAGGACACGCCTCTGTAGGACACGCCTCTGTAGGACACTCCTCTGTAGGACACTCCTCTGTAGGACATCCTCTGTAGGACACTCCTCTGTAGGACACTCCTCTGTAGGACACTTCTCTTTTCTCCGAGTTGCACTTTGATAAAAACAGCAGTAGTTTTGTTTCTAGCCCAAACGAGGCTGAAGTTCACGTTTATTTCTCGTCAGAGTCGTGGATCAGACACAAGAGCGTCTCTCAGCTCCGTGCACGTGGATCTACGGCTGCGTAAACAAGTGCACGTGAGTCATGTGACTCAGGGGCGTCACACAGATAAATGACTCCACAGATAAACACTGACGCAGAGTCACTTATGAGGACATTTATCTGTCTGTAAACTGGATTAAATCAACAGAGTGTAGAGAGTCTAAGATTTATAACGACGTATCACACGCCCACGGGAAATATCGACACAGATCGGCAAGATTTAGGCCGATATGTTTCCAAGTGTCGATATCATCTGATAATATCGGGCGGAATATATATCTGCCGGGCCCTAGATGTGTGTGTGTGTGCATGTGGTTGTGTGGTGATTGTGTGTTTGTGTGTAGTTGTGTGTTCGTACCCGTTGTTCCAGCAGGGCTCTCCTGATGGACACTCTCTGCTCCAGCTCCTTGGCCTCTCTCTCGTGCTGGGAGTCCGTGTGGATCTTGATTTTGCTCTGATAAGCGTTGAGCAGCTCGAGCTCCTGCTGAAGCTGCATCCGCAAAACCTGATACTCGGCCTCCTGAGTCTCATCCAGACGAAGCTGAGGAGGAGGAAGAGGAAGAGCAAGAGGAAGAGAGGAGAGAAGAAGAGGAGGGTTTAAATCCATTTAGATTTGTGATTTTCACACTTAGTTTCAGAGTGTGTGTTGTTGTGTGTTTTTGTCACCGTCAGGGCTGGAAACAGAAACTCTGCTCCAAGAAGAAACCGACTGAAAAGGTCCAGAGTCAAAAACTAACCCTCAGTTTACTCCAGAAACATCAGCAGCTTCACACGAGCAGGAGTCACTTTCATTTTAACACTGGGACATTTTACTCCAACAGAGTCACACGAGCGTCCACAGGTCGACACGACTCAACTCATCTCACAAATCAGGTTGGACTTTTAATTTTTCATCATCAGAGACTCCAGACTTTTATCAGAGGAAACAGGAAATAAACACGCGGTGTCAAAATAAACTTCCTGTCCTTTCAAAAGCCGTCGTGTAAAATCTCTACAGTGATGTAAACAGTGAGCGACGCATCAGGAGCTCGAGGAACGAAAAACACTTTACAAGAACAACTGGTGAATGATCAATGGTCGATGTTTCTTCTGCCTGTGACGAGTCGAGTCGCGTCTGTGAGTTTGTGTTCGACTGAAGAAAGTGTTTGATTTCATTTGGTGATTGTGATTCTTGAAGTTGTAACGTTTCAGTTTGTATCCTGATGGACGCTTCAGCTAGAATGTTTAGAATCTGTGTGTGATGTGGTTTATCTCGGGTTTGGGCGGGTCACAGGTGGAGTGTTCAGGGTTTGGGCGGGTCACAGGTGGAGTGTTCAGGGTTTGGGCGGGTCACAGGTGGAGTGTTCAGGGTCCGGGCGGGTCACAGGTGGAGTGTTCAGGGTTTGGGCGGGTCACAGGTGGAGTGTTCAGGGTTTGGGCGGGTCACAGGTGGAGTGTTCAGGGTTTGGGCGGGTCACAGGTGGAGTGTTCAGGGTTTGGGCGGGTCACAGGTGGAGTGTTCAGGTGGCGGGTCAGGGTTTGGGGGGGGTCACAGGTGGAGTGTTCAGGGTTTGGGCGGGTCACAGGTGGAGTGTTCAGGGTTTGGGCGGGTCACAGGTGGAGTGTTCAGGGTTTGGGCGGGTCACAGGTGGAGTGTTCAGGGTCCGGGCGGGTCACAGGTGGAGTGTTCAGGGTTTGGGCGGGTCACAGGTGGAGTGTTCAGGGTTTGGGCGGGTCACAGGTGGAGTGTTCAGGGTTTGGGCGGGTCACAGGTGGAGTGTTCAGGGTTTGGGCGGGTCACAGGTGGAGTGTTCAGGGTTTGGGCGGGTCACAGGTGGAGTGTTCAGGTGGGCGGTCACAGGTGGAGTTCAGGTTTGGGCGGGTCACAGGTGGAGTGTTCAGGGTGGGCGGGTCACAGGTGGAGTGTTCAGGGTTGGGCGGGTCACAGGTGGAGTGTTCAGGGTTTGGGCGGGTCACAGGTGGAGTGTTCAGGGTCTGGGCGGGTCACAGGTGGAGTGTTCAGGGTTTGGGCGGGTCACAGGTGGAGTGTTCAGGGTTTGGGCAGGTGCAGGTTTGACTTCTATATAATCACAGGTTCAGGAGTAGAGGCACCGTCTCCAAAAACGGACCCGTGCAGAACTCTGACTCTGACTGTTACATGGTACAGAGTGTGTGGACAGTGTGGGGGACAGTCTGGGGGACAGCGTGGGGGACAGTAGGACAGTATGGGGGACGGGGACAGTGTGTGAGACATGGGACAGTAGGACAGTATGGGGGACAGTGTGGGGGACAGTGTGTGGACAGTGTGGACAGTGTGTGGACAGTATGGGGGACAGTAGGACAGTGTGGGGGACAGTAGGACAGTGTGGGGGACAGTAGGACAGGACAGTGTGGGGACAGTAGGACAGTGTGGGGGACAGTAGGACAGTGTGGGGGACAGTGTGTGGGACAGTAGGACAGTGTGGGGGATAGTGTGGGGACAGTGTGGGGACAGTATGGGGGACAGTAGGACAGTGTGTGGGACAGTAGGACAGTGTGGGGGACAGTAGGACGGCGTGGGGGACGGGGGACAGTAGGACAGTAGGACAGTGTCTCACCTTGCTGACGGCCTGCGTGGACAGCATGTCGTTGACGGAGTGGACGTACTGCTCGGACAGTGAGTGTGGGGACAGTGTGGGGGACAGGGGACAGTAGGACGGCGTGGGGGACAGTAGGACAGTGTGTGGACAGTGGGGGACAGTGTGGACAGTGTCTCACCTTGCTGACGGCCTGCGTGGACAGCATGTCGTTGACGGAGTGGTCGTACTGCTCGGCGAGGATGGCGAGTTTGCGCGTCTGTTCCTCCTTGAGGCGTTTGAGCACCGCCTTGTGGTCGGCTTTGGGAGTGCTCTCCAACAGATGGTTCCTCAGGGCTTTGTACTGACGAGTCTGGATCTTACACGTCTCCTGGAACTGACGCTTGATCTGAAGCTCCTTCGTCTGACAGGACACAGAAGAGAGGAGAGACAGAGGAGAGGACACACAGGAGACAAGAGGAGACAAGAGGAGAGGACACACAGGAGACAAGAGAGAGAGGACACACAGGAGACAAGAGGAGAGGACACACAGGAGACAAGAGGAGGACACACAGGAGACAAGAGGACAGGACACACAGGAGACAAGAGGAGACAAGAGGAGAGGACACACAGGAGACAAGAGGAGAGGACACACAGGAGACAAGAGGAGAGGACACACAGGAGACAAGAGGAGAGGACACACAGGAGACAAGAGGAGAGGACACACAGGAGACAAGAGGAGACAAGAGGAGAGGACACACAGGAGACAAGAGGAGACAAGAGGAGAGGACACACAGGAGACAAGAGGAGAGGACACACAGGAGACAAGAGGACAGGACACACAGGAGACAAGAGGACAGGACACACAGGAGACAAGAGGAGAGGACACACAGGAGACAAGAGGAGAGGACACACAGGAGACAAGAGGAGAGGACACACAGGAGACAAGAGGAGAGGACACACAGGAGACAAGAGGAGAGGACACACAGGAGACAAGAGGAGACAAGAGAGAGACACACAGGAGACAAGAGAGAGAGAGTTTGTGATTAGAGGAAAGTTCAGATTTCCATGAAGCTCCAGGTGTCGTCGTGTTAAAGTCACCCTGACACACAGATAAAACTCCAGATGTGAAGAGGTTTGTGTGTGTGTGTGTGTGTGTGTGTGTGTGTGTGTGTGTGTGTCTGTATCTGGGTCCCGGTCAAACAGAAGTAAACATCAAGGCCAAAAATTCAAGTCAATGCATCTGATATAAAAGTGTATTGAACAGATACATATGTACTCTAGTTTATCAAACTGTTGACCTTTTTTCTGTTCCATTTTTAGTTCTAAAGTTCCATTCGTTTTAAACAGACCATGAATGAAACATGGAACAAATATTATTTCCCAAATTTCAAAGACAAAATCATGTAAATAAATGTTTGTATTTCATCATATCTTGTGTTATTCCATCTTTGAACTGTTGATGAAGGGACAGGATTTTTTTTTAAAAAGTATTTAAAATGATAAAAATGTTCTTGGAAGGACTGACATATTTTATAGAAATAGTTTCTTTCATTTTGAAGTAATATTAAAGTTTTCAGAAGAAAAAAGCCACAAATGATGTAAAATCCTGCACCTTCTACTTGTTTGTACAATTTTCCCTCCGTTACTTTTCCCTCCGTTACCATGAACTTTCTTAATAAAAAATCTCATGAGTCAAAAAGTCAGAGGTTTTTTCCACCTAATCTTGTACCATATGGTAGAAAACTATATGAAGCAAATATTCAAACCAGTTTGTTAAGGATATGGAAGTGAGAACCAAGAGTTATCACTGTTTGGATTTATTGACCAAAAAGTGCTGCATATTTCATTCCCTCCGTTACCGACATGAGTTTTTAATTTTTTGTCTTGAACTTGAAAGAATCTCACAGGTTTAACTTGACCCTGTTGGAGTGTAACTCTTTCCTACATTCTGATACTTTACTTATTTCAATAGTTCCTCTAGTTTCTGAATAAGAGACATTTGAATGTCAAAAATCTGACCCTGTTTCCTCCGGTAACACTTGACCGAAAACTGAAAATGAAACCCATTTATCTTCATTTTAATTCGTGGTTGGAGCCAAATCCAAAACATTTGTCAGTTTTAGGTTCAGCCGTTTCCTTCAGACTCACTCTGTTTTAGTTAGATTGTATGTTTTTGTATATTTCTGTGTATTTTTCTATGTTTGTGTGTATTTTTTGTGTATGTTCTGTGTATTTGCCATTACCCTGAGACTCTGTTGTAGTTAGAATGTATGTTTTTGTATATTTCTGTGTGTTTTTGTGTATTTTTGTATGTGTGTGTGTGTTTGTTGTGTTTGTTGTGTGTTTGTGTGTGTTTGTTGTGTGTGTTGTGTGTTTTGTGTGTGTGTTGTTGTGTTTGTGTTGTGTGTTTTGTTGTTGTTGTGTGTTGTTGTGTGTTTGTGTGTGTTTGTGTGTGTTTGTTGTGTGTTTTGTACTGTGTGTGTGTTTGTGTGTTGTTGTGTGTGTTTGTTGTTGTGTGTGTTGTGTGTTGTGTTGTGTGTGTTGTGTGTTGTTGTGTGTTTGTTGTGTGTGTTGTTGTGTGTTGTTTGTGTGTGTGTGTGTGTTTGTGTGTTGTTGTGTGTTTGTGTTGTGTGTTTGTTGTGTTGTTGTGTGTTTGTTTGTGTGTTTGTGTGTTGTGTTGTGTGTTGTTTGTTGTGTTGTGTGTTGTTGTGTGTGTGTTTGTGTTGCTGTGTTTCTCTTGTTTGTTGTGGTTTTTTGTGTGTGGTGTGTGTTGTTGTGTGTTTGTTGTGTGTGTTGTGTGTGTGTTTGTGTGTTGTGTTACCTTGAGGCTTTGGTGTGGCGGACCTCCACGTGTGCTTCTGCCTCAGTTCCTGCTCTTTCTTGTGTGTGTGTTTGTGTGTGTGTGTGTGTGTTGTGTGTTTGTGTGTGTTTGTTGTTGTGTTTGTTGTTGTTGTGTGTGTGTGTGTGTTTGTTGTGTGTGTGTGTTTGTGTGTGTTGTTGTTTGTTTTGTGTTTGTGTGTGTGTTGTGTGTTGTGTGTTGTTGTGTGTTTTGTGTGTTTGTGTGTTGTGTGTGTGTGTGTGTTTGTTGTTGTGTGTTTGTTGTGTGTTTGTTGTGTTTTGTTGTGTGTGTGTGTTGTGTGTTGTGTGTGTGTGTTGTGTGTGTGTTGTGTGTTTGTTGTGCGTCGTGTGTGTTTGTTGTGTGTTGTTGTGTGTTACCTTGAGGCTCTTGGTGCTGGCGGACTCCACGCTGTGCTTTGCCTCAGTTCCTGCTCTTTCTTTGTTGTTGTGGTTATTTTGTGTGTGTGTTGTGTGTTTGTGTGTGTGTTTGTGTGTTGTGTGTTGTGTGTTGTGTGTGTTGTGTGTGTTGTGTTACCTTGCTCTTGGGTGCTGGTGGACCTCCACGTGTGCTTTGCCTGTCAGTTCCTGCTTCTTCTCTTGTTGTTGTGTTATGTTTGTTGTGTGTGTGTGTGTGTGTGTTGTGTTGTGTGTGTTGTTGTGTGTTGTGTGTGTGTGTGTGTTGTGTTGTGTGTTGTGTTACCTTGAGGCTCTTGGGCTGCTGGCGGACCTCCACGCTGTGCTTCTGCCTCAGTTCCTGCTCTCTTCTCTTGTTGTTGGTTGTTTGTGTGTGTGTTGTGTGTGTGTTGTGTGTTGTGTGTGTGTTGTGTGTTTGTTGTGTGTGTTGTTGTGTGTTTTGTGTTACCTTGAGGCTCTTGGGCTGCTGGCGGACCTCCACGCTGTGCTTCTGCCTCAGTTCCTGCTCTCTTCTCTTGTTGTGGTTATTTTGTGTGTGTTGTGTGTGTGTTGTGTGTTTGTTGTGTGTTGTGTGTGTGTGTTGTGTGTGTGTTGTGTGTTTGTGTTACCTTGAGGCTCTTGGGCTGCTGGCGGACCTCCACGCTGTGCTTCTGCCTCAGTTCCTGCTCTCTTCTCTTGTTGTACTCCATCTGGTTGGTGAGTTCCGTTTGGTGCTGGGTCCGGATCAGCTCGGCTCGGGTTCTCTGGACCAGGGCCAGCTGCCTGAACTCCAGCTCCTGCGTCGACTCGTGATGTCTGAGGAGCATCGCGCGCTCCAGGTCCTTCTGAGTCTGCTTCTTATTCAGCTCCTGAAGAAGAAGACGAGGAGGAGAGAGGGAGAGGAAGGTTTAATGCCACACTGTGGAACATTCATCTCCACGGAAACAAAACGTCCGACGGAGCCTCCACCAGAAAAACACTCGAACTTCTGTCTTTACAGCAGCAGCAACAAGAAGGTGACTGCAGGTCCAGATCTGAGTCCAGGTCCAAGTCCAGGTCTAACTCCAGGTCCATTAAAACCTGCTCAAAGTCCAGGTCTAACCTCGCTGAGTCCTGGTCTGAGTCCAGGTCCGTGTCCAGGTCCTGATCCTGGTCCGTGTCCAGGTCCAAGTCTTGGCCTGAATCCAGGTCCAGGTCCAGGTCCTGGTCCGAGTCCAGGTCCAGGTCCAGGTCCAGGTCTGACCTCTCTGAGCAGGTCCTGGTCTGAGTCTCGGTCTGAGTCTCGGTCTGAGTCTCGGCCTGAGTCTCGGCCTGAGTCTCGGCCTGAGTCTCGGCCTGAGTCCAGGTCCAGGCCTGACCTCTCTGAGCAGGTCCTGGTCTGAGTCTCGGTCTGAGTCTCGGCCTGAGTCTCGGTCTGAGTCTCGGCCTGAGTCTCGGCCTGAGTCTCGGCCTGAGTCTCGGCCTGAGTCCAGGTCCAGGCCTGACCTCTCTGAGCAGGTCCTGGTCTGAGTCTCGGCCTGAGTCTCGGCCTGAGTCCAGGTCCAGGTCCAGGTCTGACCTCTCTGAGCAGGTCCTGGTCTGAGTCTCGGCCTGAGTCTCGGTCTGAGTCCCGGTCTGAGTCCCGGTCTGAGTGTCGGTCTGAGTGTCGGTCTGAGTCTCGGTCTGAGTCTCGGTCTGAGTCTCGGTCTGAGTCTCGGACTGAGTCTCGGACTGAGTCCAGGTCTGAGTCCAGGTCTGAGTCCAGGTCTGAGTCCAGGTCTGAGTCCAGGTCCAGGTCTGACCTCTCTGAGCAGGTCCTGGTCTGAGTCTCGGCCTGAGTCTCGGTCTGAGTGTCGGCGTCTGAGTGTCGGTCTGAGTCTCGGTCTGAGTCTCGGACTGAGTCTCGGACTGAGTCTCGGACTGAGTCCAGGTCTGAGTCCAGGTCTGAGTCCAGGTCTGAGTCCAGGTCCAGGTCTGACCTCTCTGAGCAGGTCCTGGTCTGAGTCTCGGCCTGAGTCTCGGTCTGAGTCCAGGTCCAGGCCTGACCTCTCTGAGCAGTCTGAGTCTCGGTCTGAGTCTCGGCTGAGTCTCGGTCTGAGTCTCGGTCTGAGTCTCGGTCTGAGTCTCGGTCTGAGTCCAGGTCCAGGCCTGACCTCTCTGAGCAGGTCCTGGTCTGAGTCTCGGTCTGAGTCTCGGTCTGAGTCTCGGTCTGAGTCTCGGTCTGAGTCTCGGTCTGAGTCTCGGTCTGAGTCCAGGTCCAGGCCTGACCTCTCTGAGCAGGTCCTGGTCTGAGTCTCGGTCTGAGTCTCGGCCTGAGTCTCGGTCTGAGTCTGAGTCTCGCCTGAGTCTCGGCCTGAGTCTCGGTCTGAGTCTCGGCCTGAGTCTCGGTCTGAGTCCAGGTCTGAGTCCAGGTCTGAGTCCAGGTCCAGGTCTGACCTCTCTGAGCAGGTCCTGGTCTGAGTCTCGGTCTGAGTCTCGGTCTGAGTCTCGGTCTGAGTCTCGGCCTGAGTCTCGGTCTGAGTCCAGGTCTGAGTCTCGGTCTGAGTCTCGGTCTGAGTCTCGGACTGAGTCTCGGTCTGAGTCCGGTCTGAGTCCAGGTCTGAGTCCAGGTCTGAGTCTGAGTCCAGGTCCAGGGTCTCTGAGCGGTCCTGTCTGAGTCTCGGTCTGAGTCTCGGTCTGAGTCTCGGTCTGAGTCCAGGTCCAGGTCCAGGTCTGACCTCTCTGAGCAGGTCCTGGTCTGAGTCTCGGTCTGAGTCTCGGCCTGAGTCTCGGGCCTGAGTCTCGGCCTGAGTCTCGGCCTGGTCTCAGTCTGAGTCAGGTCTGAGTCCAGTCCAGTCCAGGCCTGACCTCTCTGAGCAGGTCCTGGTCTGAGTCTCGGTCTGAGTCTCAGTCTGAGTCTCGGTCTGAGTCTCGGTCTGAGTCTCGGTCTGAGTCTCGGTCTGAGTCCAGGTCCAGGTCCAGGTCTGACCTCTCTGAGCAGGTCCTGGTCTGAGTCTCGGCCTGAGTCTCGGCCTGAGTCTCGGCCTGAGTCTCGGCCTGAGTCTCGGCCTGAGTCTCGGCCTGAGTCCAGGTCTGAGTCCAGGTCTGAGTCCAGGTCTGAGTCCAGGTCCAGGCCTGACCTCTCTGAGCAGGTCCTGGTCTGAGTCTCGGTCTGAGTCTCGGTCTGAGTCCAGGTCTGAGTCCAGGTCTGAGTCCAGGTCTGAGTCCTGAGTCTGAGTCCAGGTCTGAGTCTAGGTCTGAGTCTCGGTCTGAGTCTCGGTCTGAGTCCAGGTCTGAGTCCAGGTCTGAGAGGTCTGAGTCAGGTCTGAGTCTCGGTCTGAGTCTCGGTCTGAGTCCAGGTCCAGGTCCAGGTCCAGGCCTGACCTCTCTGAGCAGGTCCAGGTCTGAGTCCAGGTCTGAGTCTCGGACTGAGTCTCGGTCTGAGTCCAGGTCTGAGTCTCGGTCTGAGTCCAGGTCCAGGTCCAGGTCCAGGCCTGACCTCTCTGAGCAGGTCCAGGTCTGAGTCCAGGTCTGAGTCTCGGACTGAGTCTCGGTCTGAGTC